TTTATCCCACCCCCCCTACAAGTGGTCTCATCCATCCCTTAAATCAGGGGCAGGAAATTCTTTTGGGCAGAGGGCTGCTTACTGACTTTCGGCAAGTCAAGGAGGGCCATGACAGGCAGCCCAAGGCAGATTAATATTAATTTTCTAAATTTTTTAGGGGCCACACAGGCGGAATAGAATGGCCTGGTGGGCTGCATCCGGCTGCCTTAAATCAACCAAGTAGTTTCACCCAGAGCCACCCCCTCCCTACTTGGTACACATGGTTTAACTCACTCCATGTAGCAGTGGTCTCATCCAACACCTCTTTCTGTATACAGGACCCCAATGGGCTATTCCAAGCACTCCACTAAATCAGCAACCCAATGGTTTCACCCAGGCACCCCCATACCTAGTACAGGTGGTTCAACCCACCCCATGTACCAGTGGTTTCATCCAACACCACCCCTCAAAAAGACTCCAGTGGGCTAATCCATGCCTGAGTCAGCAACCAAATGGTTTCACCCAGACCCTCCCATACATGCTGCAGATGGTTTAACCCAGGCTTCAAGCCCCCTAAATGGGCTGATCCAAGACCAACCCACCCCTGTACCAAATAAATGGTCTCCCCCCCACCTTACCTGGTACAGATGGTGTAACTCTATAATAGCTACAAACTCCCCCTGACACCCAAATGGTTTAACCCAGCTCAAGTCTTCCCCCCCATCCACTCAAATGGTCCAATCCAGAGCCCCATTCATTCTATAGAGGTAGGACTGGCCCACTGAAAGGGAGGAGGTGTTCAGGCAGTCTCTTTATGGGGGGGGAATATAGATTGGGGAGGTATGACAGCTCCACACCCCTCCCATCCAGCCAGCAGAAGGTGGGGAAACTGAGGCACGAAGCGGGAGAGAACCCAGGCGTCCGGGCCCCACCCCACCCCACCCGGGGGGGGGCGGTCTCCTCGGGTCCCCCAGCTCAAAGTAGCTCTTACGGGGGGGTAACCACGATTATAACCCCGACTATAACTCGGGGGGTGGACCACGATAGGGCCCCCCCCACCCCCCACCATGACCCCCTAGTCCCCCCCGGGTGGGGGGGTCGGGGGGGGGTTACACGCGGGGGGACGGGGAACGGACTGCGGGAGCTATAGGGGGCCAGGGTTTCAGGGGCGGATGGAGAAAGGGGCGTTATAAGGGGCTATAGGGGGCGACCGGGCGCTATAGCTGGCAGTAGGAGGGACGGTGGGGGTGGTTAGGGGTCGCTGTAGGGTCCGGGGGGGCAGTAGTGCTAT